AAAAAAATTTTTTTTTATTTTTTTAAAATGGAAATTAAAAAAATTGTTTTTAATTGCTTTTGAGTCATCTATTTTATCTACTCCCCTAGAAAATTGATATTCCGAGAGTTTGCCCTTACTAGCAAATGTTTGCTAATAAAGCCCAAGCCTCAGTTTATCGATTTTCTAGGGGTGTGTATAAAACATGACATAATTTATATTATAAATTATTAATTATTATTAATATAAATTTATATATTATGTATAAATTATTCTCTCTATATATATGTATATGTATGTATATATATATATAATAAGATGTCACGTGGCTGCTTAAGAATCAGTTGAAAAGATTGTTTTGCAGCGCAGGAGTAATTTTTCTGGCGCCTTTTCTACAGAAGCCATAAGTGACTCAAATGTGCATGCAACATAGTGGCAGCCCGTAAAATCCTATTTTTATGTCTCGAGCACTCGTGTGTTTTTCAGCCGTGGCAAACTTTAAATAAGATCGAGCGGGTTGCCATTCTCCACACTATTTTAACTACAAATTTTCAAGGTCGGGTGGGGAACGCCGAGGTAGAGGAGGGAAAAAAATATAAGGGGTTAAGGGGAACCAGACAGTCGGAAGCGCCAACAGGAGAGGAAAAAGCCCATGGTGGCATTGCTTCGAGTGTTGGCGCGAAATCGCCGCCGCTCTAGCCCATCGCCTCGGTGGTTGCGCGCGCGCGCGAGGAAATGCGCGCGAGGAAACGGGGGCTCACGTGACCCGCGCCGCCGCATTCTTCCCGTCAGCCATTTTAGATCGGAATCAGCCAGGCGGCGCCATTAAAAGTGCGAGAAAGGAAGGAAGTAAAGCCAGAGACCTCCCGTTTCCTTCCCCTGTGGAGAACACCGCTTTTTTTATTCTCCCCCCCCCACCCCTTCAGCGGCATATTTATTTCTCTTTCCCCGGTTCGAAACCGGCCCGCCGAGTCTCTTTTTTTTTTTTAACCCAGCCGGGGAAGCCTCCCCTCATGTCGGACGACCAGTTCGCCGGAGACGAAGCGCTGGCGGAGGCTTCGGAAGAGAGCGAGCAGCTCGAAGGGATCCTGGCTCCCGGCGGCGATGGCATGGAAGAGGCCGAGGGAGGAGGAGGTGAAGGAGAAGGCGGAGGGGGAGGAGGCGGCGGCGGCGGCGGCTCAGGCGAATCGGAAGGAGCCAAAATCGACGCCAGCAAGAACGAGGAGGATGAAGGGTAAGCCGGAGGCCTCCTTTCCTCTTCTCTCTCCCCCACCGCCCCACCGCCCCCAACCATCGCTTTCGGTCTGCAGGAGGCGACGGGCATCCTGAGGCGATCGCCTCTTGCAGGAGAAACTCTGGCGGCCGCCGCCGCTTCTTTATTTATTTATTTCGTCAAGCATGTATAAGACAACATATATACGTATAAACTTGATTATGAATACATGAAATGGACATGAATAAATGGGGACAGTAGGACAGGGACGATAGGCACCCTGGTGCACTTATGCACGGCCCCTTAAAGACCTCTTAGGTATGGGGTGAGGTCCACGGTAAACAGTCTAAGGTTAAAGTTTTGGGGGTTTGAGGATGTAACTACAGAGTCAGGTAGAGCATCCCAGGCATTGACCACTCTGTTGCTGAAGTCGTATTTTCTTGCAATCGAGTTTGGAGCGGTTTACCTTGAGTTTGTATCTATTGTGTGCTGGGATGTATAATTGAAGCTGAAGTAGTTGTTGACACACAGGACGTTGTAGCAGATAATTTTGTGTACTACGCTTAGGTCAGACCGAATAGTTCTAGGTTGCCCAAAATTTCGAGCTTGGTGGCATAAGGGATTCTATTGCGGGCAGAGGAGTGGAGAACTCTTCTCCTGAAATACCTCTGGACTCGCTCAATGGTATTAATGTGCGATAAACAGTGTGGATCCAAGCAGACGAGCTGTATTCGAGAATTGGTGTCCCCCCCCCCCTTTTCAGTGCACTGAAGTATGCAGGGCTGTCGGGCATCGCTGGTGCGGGAGGAGGAGGAAAGTGCGTGGAAAACTCCAGAAGGGATCGCTTTGGGGTCGGTGTTTTAGATTTAAACGGCCATCCTAAGGAAGGATGGAAGTGGCAGGCATCACAGGCAGTCTTCGACTTACAACAACTCGCTTGGTGACCGAAGTTGGAAACTGCGCTTGGGGAAAAAAAGGACTTACAGCTGTTTTCCACACTTAATGACCATTGCAGTGTTCCCCTCTCCCCCCCCCCCAGTCATGTGATTTACATCCAGATGCTTGACAGCGGATTTGCATTTATGACCAGGTGTGTGTCATGGGATTTCCCATTTTACGACCTGATGAGCAAAGTCAGGGCGGGTGGGGGAGTCAGATTCACTTAACCGAATGTGCGGATTTTAACAAGTGAGGGGATTAACTTAACAGTTAATTAAGGGAAGGACAAGGGAAAGTCATAAAATGGGGCAAAGCTCACTTCACAAATGTCTGTCCCTTAGAGACATAACTTTTGGGGGTCAATTGTGGTTGTAAGCTGAGGGCTGCCTGTCGTTCAAAATCACACACTTGTGATCCGAATTAACTCAATGGCACGTGGTTTACAGATCCTCTTCGACTTAACAACAGTTCATTTAGTGACTGTTCAAAGTTACGACATCGGTGGGACAACTGATCTGTGATCGTTTTTCACATACTTAACGACTGTTGCAGCATCCCCATGTGATTGAAATTCAGACAATTGACAACTGACTCATATTTGTGACAGTTGCAGTGTCCTGGAGTCATCTGATCACCTTTTGCAGCCTTCTGACAAGCAGAGTGTATGGGGAAACCAGTTTCACTTAACAACTGCAATGATTCAATTAACAACTGTGGCAAGAAAGGTTGTAAAATCGGTCAAAACTCATTTAACAAATGTCTCACTTAGCAACAGAAATATTGGGCTCGGTTGTGGTTGTAAGTCGAGGTCTACCTGTATTATTTCATATGCCTTCTTCCCCAGCCAGAAGCAAAATCTATTTTAGAGTAACATGTATTTTAGACCCACGTAGTTGAAAAGAACATAAAATGACCTGTGGGATGAAAACAACATTTTTTGTTGGTAAAGGGCCATGTATGCAGCTTCAAAAATGTATTGTGGGAAATAGGGAAGCACCAGAGAAATTGCATAGTTTTTTATCTTTGTTTCGGGATAATAATCTGAAAAGTTTGTTTTAGGTTTGGGCAGTGAATATGAATGTGTTTTTAAAGTGAAATGTAGATTAATGAACACATGAAAGGCATTGACATATGGAACCTCATAGATCCTAATGTAGATTTTGTGGTTGACATGATTGGCTG